GAAAAGATCAATTCCAGAGCTCATTCATCTGTCATTTTGTGTGAAATTCCCAGAGCCTGCACGTTTAATGCCACCTTGAGTGTTTTTCCTGGGTAGAGTTAGAGTTAAGAGTTAAGAGTCTCAGGCAAGGGCCATTAGGAAGTTCATGGTGATCTTAGGGGAGCAGCTAGCTGGCTGTCAAGGCACTCACCTGTTTACTGAGCATATGATAGAAAGGCTGTGTTCTGGTACCCAGAATAGGCCTAGTTCCTGCCACAATGGGGTCTCTGTGTTATGGGGAAGAAGATGTTTTGTCCTTTTTCTTACAGAATAGAGAGCTATTTTAATTGGCAAGTATACGTGATTTGCCTAACAACTCAAACATTAAGCTAGGAAATAATCAATTCAGGAAGGAAACCTCAAGTGAGTGGTCAGTTCTACAGATGTTATCAAAAGAGGCCCCCTTTGTTGGGAAGTGGGTACAGAGGCAAACAAGTGTAACACAGGGCCAGGTATGCTCACCTGGGCCCAGGTGCTTAGGAACCATGGAGACCCTAAGATTGGTCCTTTCCCAGTGCCTGGAGGATATAAAAAGCCCCACACAGGAGAGGAAACACTGACACTCATGGGCTAGATGACTGTGGATGGATTTGCTGAAGCCAGGTGGGTCACAGGGCCACAGTGACATCAGCAAGGCTCTTCTCTGCCCCACTTCTTAGCTGTACTTCAAGGAGACCCAGGGACCCAGATGCCATCAACTGAGCTCAGGACTGTCCTGAGGGAGTGCCATGAAATCACTATATGCTTGCCCTCCCAATGCAGCAACCTGGTAGGGGCGCTCATCTGCAGAGTCCCTGGAGGCCTGGGCTGCTGGGAGAAAGATCAAAAGGAGGATGCTGATTGGCTCTCCATGGCCCAGTGACTACATCCACTTGGATAAAGGTTTTCTGATTGGTCACGCCTGCATGTGGTGATTATCATGCCTTCTGATTGGTCAGGCCTTCATGGAAGTGGTAGGACTGGGCTTTTGTCATTAAAGTTCTTTTTCCAAAAGAATGGGGCGGGGCAACAAGTCTAGCCTGCTTGGCGTATTGTAAGCTTGTCTCAAAACAAGGTGGATGGTTTCTGAGAATGACATATGGCTTCTGACCTCCACATGCATGCATCTGCTGTATCTGTACACACACAGTCTCTCTCTCTCTCTTTCTCCCTCCTACCCCCACACTCTCTCTCTCTCTCTCTCTCTCTCTCTCTCTCTCTCTCTCTCTCTCTCTCTCTCCCTCAAAAAAGGTCAGCCTTCAGTCTATATCTGGGGAGAGTGCCATCACTCTTCACTATATCCCTTGTGGAGTGCCTCCAGTTACCTTCCAGGTCTCTCTTAGTCTCCACTTAGCTGACATACAATCCTATCATGGTGGGCTGTTGTGAAGGCTGGAGATAGTAAATTGTGTGCCAGAAGACATACTTACCCCTACAAGGAGGGAGAAAACTCGGGCAACAACCCACCAGGTGTGTAGTAGGCTAACCCTGGCTTCTGGCAACCACTGTGACCTTCTCCTCCACTGAATAACACTAACTAGTTTAGAAACACACAGTTGTGGAAATTGTCGTGTGTGAGTTTATGGCCACAAAAGACCTCAGGCCTCTGATGGATCCTCGGGGCGGGGGGGCTTTCAGACAACAGGCTTTGTAGGAACATCAGGGCATTGTCCCTCAGTGGTCTGGGAAGACACTCCAGTAGAGGATTCATCTCAAAGAGATCTGTGGGTGACACTTTTGTTTAATGGAATGAAGGGCAATAAGACTAATTGAACACAGAGTGCTCAAAATAATTACATTTGTAATAACCACTGTCAGGGCCAACTGAAGGAAAAGGAAACACGAAGAGGCATCTGGAGCAGGCAGGAAGCAGGCTGTGAAGTGGAGCTGCAAACCCGGAGCTACCACTCCTGGAACATCAGTGTGTGGGACCAGAGCCCAGGCTCTGTGATGGTCCCCAAGGTTCCCAATTAACTTCCCTCCCGTGTGGAATAGGACCGATCTCTGCTAACAGTACTGTAGGGTGATAGTATGTGACACCCAAGACCCACCTTACCCCCCCCCCCCAGTTACCTGTTTTAGAGGACACCAGGACCTACACAATAACATCGTTCAGCAGTCAGATAGAGATGCACCCATGACATTGAAGTGAGACCTGTAGCATCATACGATGAGCTATTCCAGAAGCTCCAGAGATGGTGTCATTTAGAAGATATTCTAAAGGGCCCATGGGAGCTCTCAATGACGGTGGTACTTGCCCTGTGTGTCAGTGAACCTCTCCCATGGACATCCTGTGGCACTGCTAGTCTGAAATTATGTAGATAGCAGACCTACTTTTCCCAGAGAGCCCAGAGATGGTCTACAAAACACCATCCTATGAGCAATGACTCCTACTTATGGGGAAGTTCCTATGATAAAGGCACTCCCAATGCTTCTTCCTTTATGTTCTCAACAAACACTGTGAGATGGACTACTTTGAAAAAAGGGCCAGGGTGGTCAGTCCCATTTCTCAGACATCGACAACCAATTCTACAGAGGTTGCAGGTGTGTGCTAAGGACAAAGAAACAATGATGAAGTGGATCTTGTGGCATCAAGTTCAGGGCATTCCCCAAAGTATCCAGGCTCCATCCAAGGGGACCCCCACAGCTATTAGCTTCTTAAATCCTACCAGGATAACTCTGTGTACCATCCACTGGAGCATCCTACTTCACTACTGCCTTCCTGCAGATGAACCTTCAGCACAGTAAAGACTTTCTTCTTCCCACTCTGGTTCCCTGGCAACTGTGTAATATAAACATCTCCTGCAGCAGTTTTCATGGGTGGCCAGACAATGCTGCCATTGCTCCTCGTTGGAAGCTGCTTCAGAGCCCACACCCTCCCCATTAAGCAGCACTGCAATGGAGTTACAGTGTGATTTCAAACTTAAAAGCACAGAGAGCTTGAGCACTGCCCTTATCCATCAGATCTGAGCTTTGCCCTAAACTCCAGTCTACTCCCACATGCTGGAATGTTACAGGCACTGAGCACACACTGCTGTGGGCTCTTGGGGAACATCCAAGACATTTCAGAAAGTTCAATAACACTAGGCCCTCTAAAAAGAGTATTTCCAGGAAAAGACCCTTCAGAAGGAATGTACGGATGATACTGTGCGGATGATACTGCTAACAGTGGGCATGCATGTGCTGTAAATGTCTAGTTTAAGCTTCAGAAGGGTCCTATACAGTAGGCTGTCACTCTCTCTGCTTCAATACAAATATGACCCATGGTCACACAGGTGGGATGCCCTTGTACCACAAAGGGCAGGGGGTTTAGAAGATCCTAAAATCTATGCTATGGACAGCTAGCTCCTCCCTGTAGTAGCCACTGCCCCCTGAGATTGACCTGCTAGGGAAACAATCAAAGTCTCAGTGTTGGCCATTGCATGTAAATCTGAATTTTACTGTTTTATGTACACACAGTGCATGAAGTGAACATGCCTTCATCTTTGAGATATCCAAGTTAGAATTTCTAATCGAACTAATGCCCTTCCCTGGCTTCAGGATGACTTCCTGCTACACATAGCTAGGGTTCAAGGGCACAGAGACCAAACTTCAAACTTATCTTTGTGTCTTCTTGTCTCCCAACAGGGTCAGTTGGGACAGAGGAAATTAATGAATATTTAATCCAAGAATCCACCTTTTCCCTTTTTTATTAGCATGTATTATAGATGAGTTTCATTATGACAGTCTCACACACATATAAAATGTAGTTTGATCATATCCGCCTCTATACCCTCTTTGGTCCCACTCTTGTTGATCTCTTACCTCTTCCCAATTAGATTCCTTTCTAGATCATTCTCTCTGTGTGTGTGTGTGTGTGTCCCAAAGAGTTTCATTACGATTGCTCACAGGAGCATGGGGCATCTTTGTAGTGACTATACCACTAGAGAAATTCTCTCCCATCCCAAGAAACCACCAATCGCCCTCAGCTCCTCAGGGAGGAGCAGATATCATGAGCTCCTTCCCCTCCCATGGCAGAATGGTGATAGGCCCCATCTTGTGCAGTCTAGGTAAGGCAATCATGGCTGCTGTTAGTTCATGAGGACAGTGGTCATGTCACTCTCAGAAGACAGACTCCCCAGCACTCCCCCCTTCCTCCAGCATTTGCATTTTTTCTACAGCTTTTGCTGCTGAGTCCCATGAGACTTGGAGGGGGTGACACAGATGTCCTGTCTACAGATGAGCATTCAACACTCACTTATTCTCAGCACTCTGGCCAGTTATGAGCCTCTGAATGATAACTGCTGACTGTTACAGAGAGAAGCTTCTCTGATCGTAGCTGAGAGCAGCACTAATCTACGGGTGTAAACATTAATATATAGAAAGCAGTTTTACAGGCACAATTTCTCTATGTAGCAAAATATCAGTAGTAGGCCCCACTTGGCTATGATCTCTCTATCCATGAGCATCTGGACAGGTTTACAGTACCAGGGGCAAAATCTCTCCTGTGGAACAGGTCTCCAATCCAATTAGGAAGTAGTTGGTATTCTTCTAACAGACCTAATGCCACTATTACACAAGGGGTTACACTTTGCCTGTCATTGGTAGTGCAGTATGAAAGGTCTACAAAGGAGTAAGACTGTTCTCCTCTAGAAGTCTGCACAGAACCTTCTGGCACAATGAAATCTAGCAAGCAAAGAGGAGGGGTTCATTTCAGTTCCAGCTTGATTTTTTTCATGTGCTGCAGTTAATGTGTATGGAGCCTTCTGTAATAGGGTCTTACTATCTAGGTCTGGTGGGCAACCAAGAACACTGGAAACAGCCAACACTGTTTTGGAAGCCTCAGGACCATCCTTGACCAACAATTCATAAGGAAATAGCATATTCCTGGCCATGGGGTTTAAAAACCTCATTGCTAAGGAGTAATTCGAAGACATGAAACATCTTTAAAAACCTGCATTCTTGAAAACCAGTAGGCTCAGCTCCCATGTGTAGTTTTCTCTTCATAAGTTCAGAACTGTGGAAGGAGGGAACCAGGTAAGAAGAGATAGCGCCAAGAGTAGGACCAGAATTCCATCCCACAGAATAAACTCTGAGTCTTGACCTCCAGACCTTCTGCCATGACCTTGGACTTTAAACCACTCTACCACCTCCTGCAGGTCAAATGGCTGAGGCTCATAGCCTAGCTCTTTCTTGGCTTTCTCTAAGCTGAAGTAATGTGTGACACCAGTTTTATACACCTCAGTGCGGGTGAGAAAAGGTTGGAAGTTGTAGAGCCTACTCAGAATGAAATGGGTCATCTCTACTAGGAAAGCAAAGCAGTAGATGAGGGTGAATGGCAGGCGGATGGATGGGAATGTGTAGCCCAGGCCCTCAACCAGTGGCCGAAAGAATTCAAAGTTATTCACAGGCCTACCATCTGAGATGAAATAGGGCTGCCCAGAGGCTACATGGCCCTTGTCAGCTTTTAGAGCCTCGGAGGCCAGAATGTGAGCTTTCACCAGGTTGTCCACATGAACAAACTCAACCAGGCTATTGGGATCCCCAAATATAAATCTGAACAGGCCCCTCTCAATGTAACTCACTATCCTGGGAAGGTGCCTTTGCTCTCCCACCCCATAGATACCAGCTGGCCTTAGTGCACAGGTTCTGAGGACACCATTGCCTTGCTTGAAGGCCGAGCCATCGGCTTCCAGCACCTTCTTCTCTGCAATAGATTTGGTCCGGGAGTAGTGATCTGGGTGCAGGTGAAGAGGCAGGTAAGGAAGAGACTCATCCCCATTTCTGATGACTTGACCTCCAAAGACGACGTTGACTGTGCTTGTGTAAACTAACCTGGGCACTCCTCTCTCCAGGCAGGTCTGGAGGATGTTGTTTGTGCCACCCACGTTGACCTCTTCAATCAGGGTTTTGTTCAGTTGCTCCCTCCCAGACATACCATAAGAGGCGACGTGGAACACACATGCAATGTCAGTGTCCCGGAAGGCCATCTCCACATCAGAGAGGCAACAGATATCCCCACGGATGAACCTGATTCCCTCCGGAAGGTTCTGAGCAGGTTGGCTGATGTCAAACAGAATCACACGGACTCCTTTCTGGTTCAGAGCACAGCCGAGGCTGAGGCGAGAAAGATCAGTGTTAGATCAGGCCACCCTCCAGCGGTGTCTAGGGAAAGTGTATAAAATAACTGGCCAATAAGGCAGGGCTCACCCGAGTCTTGTTAACTCATGCTGAGTCACCTATCTTATGTATTCATTGCTACAGGTCTCATTTAAATTTTGGGGAAAAAAAAAAAAACAACCCAGGAATCCTCTCAACAACATAAATGACAACGGCGTCTCTGTGACAGAACGCCTACTGTAGTGCAAAAGCATCTCCCAGGGTCTCAGGCTATTGAGAATTTGGTGTCCAGCTAGTGGTGCTGTTTTGGGAGTTTATAGAATCTTAAGAGTTGGAACCTTGCTGGAGGAAGTGGGCCACCAGAGGCGGGCCTTGAGTATGATAGACAGACCCAGCTTCCTGTTGGTTTTCTGCTTTCCAATTTCAGGGGCACTATGAGCAGCTGTCTCACGCTCCTCTACCATGTCCTCCCCTTGTGAGGGTCTGCATCCCTTTGAACCTTGAGTCCAGTTAAACTCCCCCCACCCCCCGCCTTAAATTACTTCTTGTTAGGTATTTGGTCACAGTGATGAGAAAAGAAACAAATACGGCTTAAAAAATATCTTTGGTGAAATGAATAATCATCAGGCCCCAATTTACAGGTTTTAAAAATATTTTTTCTTGAAGTGGAATAAATCTGTGCTTTTCGATTTTCAAGTCTAAGCAGTGAGCACCCAAGTTTGCTTCTGTTTTAGCACCATACAGATACGTCAAAGCCCATGAGACTTGAAAACTATCCAGTAAAATAACCCCATGAGGATATTTTGTAGAAGAACTGACCGGAAGCCAAAATATCCACCTCCTCCTGTTATGAGGACGGTTTCCTCTGAGAACCTTGGGGAGTCCATAGGAGACAGCAAAGGGACAACTGGACCTGCAAGAGGATTCAACAACATTATGACCCTGTATAAACATGTTCCATCTTGATTCTGAGCTAACAAGAAGAAAAAGGTGGTTGGCTTGCTACTCAGTGGTAGCACACGTATCCAGCATGTGTGAATCTCCGGTTACATGGCCAGCACTGAGAAACCCAACCCAAACAACAGAATCTGTTAGTGTAGGAGAAACTTTGAGACACGCAGCTCCAGTCACGCCTCTGCTACTTTAGCTGCACCCTTCACTTCTTGGCTGAGACACCCTGTTCTCTCTAAACCTTACTTTCCTGTAAGCTATGTGCTGTTCTATTTCAGGATGTCTTCACGCTTCTAGAAAAGGAGCAGCACATAGCAGAGAGAGTGAAGACAAAGAGATATGCTGTGACACTCCCTACTAGCATCACACAGCCCCCTTACCGCCACCCCTGCCTCTACCAAAAAAGTACCATTGTCACTCTATTTTCCAGCCCAGAATAAAAAAAAAAAAAAACTCTCCCATGCATAACCAATGGATAGTTGACACCATGAGCCCATACTCTTAACCCCTGAAACATGGACTTGGGGGAAAGTGGATGGTGTTTGGGTTTTCTTCAGTTGTGTGACTTTAGATCAGTAATTTGCTTTGAGCCTGTGGCTTCATCCAAAAAGTTGAGCCAAGGACAAGCTTGTATGCCTATAAAGACAAGATGAGATAATGTAGACTAAATATCCCAAACACACCACATGGTGTGGTTTATACCATAGATGCCATTACTTGTTTCCTTTCTTCTAAGCGCTGATGTGTGTCAATTCATTATTTCCTATTCAGCCATGCTTAGAACTCTCAAGACACAGGGTTACAGAGGTCATCATGTTTTAGAAATTGTGTTTCTAGCCAGTGAGGCTAACTGGATCACAAGAAAATTTGTGAAGACCAAGACATGAATGAGCACCTCTTTAATGTATTACCTTCTAACAATATCTCTAACACATATGTGTGTATTTCTTTATTTTTATTTTATGTGTATGAGAGTTTTGCCGGCATGTTCTCATGTGTGCCATGTGCATGAAGTACCTGTGAGGGTTAGAAGAAGGTGTCAAATGCCCTTGAATAGGAGTTAAGACAGCTTGAAAGCAGCCATGTGGGTGCTGGGAATCTAATCTGGGGGGACCTCTGGAAGAGCAGTGAGTGCTCTTAACCTCTGAGCCATCTTATCTTTTGCAGTGCTTGGGTTAGAACACAGCTCTCACACATGCAAGACATGTATGTGCTCTACCACCAAGTCACACACCCATCTTGCTTTCTGAAAATAGAATGCTCACACCTGGAACTGGAGTGGCCATGGCAACAAATGTCATCAATTCTGCTGTGTGACACCATTTCATGACTTAATCCCTCATGCTGGGGACAGCTGACTGCTGTTTCCAGACTTCCAACCTTTACCTCCGTGACCTGGCTCAACAGTCCACTCTTCTGCTATTGACTCTCTGTGCTTGAGCCCAGTGTATCTCCTTTTCCCAGCACCATGCTAGGCTCCCTGGTGTGCCCTGTTCTCAGCACAGTGTGGCAAATGGCTCTGGCAGGTTCTGGCCAGCTGTAGCTTCCTCAGCAGTAAGACCTTCCTCAGAGAGGCTTCTGCTCACCAATCTCTGCTCTCCTTACTCTACAGCTTCTCCACCTTCTTCAAGGCTAACTGTGTGCCTTTAAATTGTCCCACTCCTTCCTCTAGGATAAAAATTCCATGAGAAAGGGGTCCTTCCTTTTCCACTGGGCTATTCCTTCACTGAACCCAGAAATGGACAGATTCCCAATAAATAGTTGCTAAACTTCTGGATAATCCTTAACAACACAAAACATAGCCAGTTTAATAAAACTGTGACAGACACAAATGAGCAGGGCCTCAAGGTGTCATTGTAGTCCATTAGGTTTAATGCTACCATTTTAACTTCCTAAAAAGTGTGGAGTTACAGAATGAGACAGAAGCCAGGCTCAGTGACATGGGGCTCTGGCACTGTGGCACTTATTATGGGAAAAGAGACTTCTGCCAATGTCTAAAGAACAAGATAAGCATCTGAGACTTCTCAAGAGAGCTGTATTCTGGCCTGTAGCTGCTACAGGAATATAAATCTATGGCCAGTTTTCTCTGTTGTTTTGGGGCATATGATGAGGTGCTGGGGGTGCAGGGGCAAAGCAGGGGAGGAAGAGGCTGTGTAGTTCCCTAAAGGGCAACACCCTCAATGACCTAATGTCCTTCCTCTGGGTCCCACCTCCCAAAGATTCCACCACCTCCCCACCATGGTGCCACAGGTGGGATGGAGCCTAGAGAACAAGAGACATTGAAAATGCAAGTCATAACACAAGATCAAATGTGAAACAAAGTCACTTTTCTGAGTGACACACATGCAAAATGCTGCAGGAACATGGAAGATGATTCTGACTCCCATCGAGGAGCAATTCCTGGAGCTGTGTCTATGGAGCCTGTGGAGATGCTCAGCTGGTAAAGTGTTAGCCGTGCAAGCACAAGAATCTGAGTTTATACCTAGACCCCATGTGAACAAATAGCTGGGCATCATGGCATGCACTTGCGATGCCTGGGCTGGGAGGTAGAGTGAAGCTCTCTAGTCAGCTGGCCTAGCCTAACTGAAGAGTTCTAGATTCTGGTAAGAGATCCTGCCTTAAAAAACAATATGAATAGTACCTGAAGAATGATATCCAAGGTTATCCTCTGACAGACAGGCAGGAAGGCAGGCAAATAGGATCCCCCCCCTCTCTCTCTCTCTCACACACACACACACAGAGAGAGAGAGAGAGAGAGAGAGAGAGAGAGAGAGGGAGGGAGAGAAACAGAGAGAGACAGAGAGAGACAGAGAGAGACAGAGAGAGAAATCAGCAAACACTCCGTAGAACCCCCAGGAAATCCCCTTGAGGACTAAAGCAGGAGGAGAAAGACTCTCCATCCGTTTCCCATTTCCAGCTACTTAGAGCGTCTGTTTTTTTTTTTTTTTTTTGACTTAGCTTCCATCTGACTCCTCTTGGGGTCACACTGGATGATGGTAACTGCTTGGAGGCTCTTCCAAAATGCAGCTTAGCTCAGTAATTGCTTTTCTGTTGGGATGGGGGAGGCAGCATCTGACCCGGGCTGTCATTTTCTCAGAAACAGGTTAAAGTTAAGCACATGATTAAGGAAAAGAAAAGGAATCTTAATTACCAACAGGAGAAAGAAAGAAGTTTAAAATCTGCCTGACCTCTTGATAATGCTAAGGTAAAGCGAGGGTAACAGTTGATATCTCACAGGGGAGTTAGAGGCAGAAAGTAATGAAATATGACTGGGAGTGTTTGAGATTTACAAAGACATAATTAAATCCAAGGATCAGTAATAAAAACCCAAGATTATGCACACTGTTCCTCCAGCCCCATGGTTCAAAGCCATGATGCCGCTCACCCCTTGGCATCTCGACTCAATGCAGACATAATTAGCATCTGGCAAATGACACCTGAAGCAGGAAGAGTTTAAGATGCCCTCATGCTAGATGTGGGCCGTTTGTTTTTGTAGTGCTGAGGAGAGGACCCAGGGCCTTGTATGCTAGGCAAATACTCAACCACTGAGCTAAGTTGCCTAAAGAACCTGGTTAACAGCAGCTGGCCTGGAGATGGGGCTCAGTAGGTAGAGGCTTACCTAGCATGTAGGGAGCCCTGGGTTCCTGCCCCCAGCACTGTATTAACAGGGCATAGCAGTGCAAGCCTATAATCCCAGCTCTCTGAAGGTAGAGCTAGGACATTCAGGCTAGAGAGTTCAAATCCAGTCTGTTAAAAACAAACAAACAAACAAACAAACAAACCCAAAGCCTGTTTTTATATAGATAAAACACCCACCTATCATCCCAGCACTAGAGAGCCAGAGGCAGGAGGATTACTACCTCAGGTTCATCATAGGCTATGGAGACTGTGTCTCAAAAAAATCCTGGGCTAGAGAGAGTGTGTTTCAAAAAAAAAGTAGTCTCCCCACCCCCTGCCCAATTCATCACAAGGAAAATTAAACACCTCCAGGGGGCGTAACCTTGTGATTAGGTGTCTTTAGTTTTTGAAAAAGTGCTTATCTGAGGCAAATGTCCTTATGGTCCTGGGTCCTGGGAAACATGTGAGATGACAGGGCTTATGAGCTGGTGCTGTGTGTGTTCCATGAAGGGTGTGCAAAGGAATCATTTGTGTTATATAATGCAGTAAAGATGAATATGTAGCTATCAGTGACAGGGAGAATCCCTGATGTGAAAGAGAGGGGAAGTATAGACTCTAAAGGCAGAATAGACGGAACTGTATGTAATGGAGGCTGGTGGGCAGCAACAGTCATCACCTCTGTGGGGCAGGCCTTTTATTCCAGCCGCCCACGCATGCATGCACACTCCTCTTATCTAGATATCTGTTACACAAAAGGCACTTACAATTCTTTACAGCACTGACGAAAAAGGAATGAAATGGAGTGATTTTTTTTGTACCTGCATGTGGAGGTCAGAGCTCACCCTTAACAGTTGTTTCTCAGGAGCCACCCTTCTTCCTCCTCTTCCTCTCCTCCTTCTTTGCTTTTTATTTTATCATTTAAGAAAAATGTACGCGACTGTGTATGCTTGTGTGAGTTTCTGCCATATATGTGCAGGTGCCATGGAAGCCAGAAGAAGACACTGAATCTCCCGCATCTGGAGTTACACGGGGTTGTGAACCCCTGGGAACTGAACCCAGGTCTTCAGGAAGAGCAGTAAGTGCTCTTAACTGCTGAGCCAGCTCCAGCCCCAGGTTTTTGTTTTGTTTTGTTTGTTTTTTGAGACAGGGTCTCTCACTGCCTGCCTGTACTTACTGATTTGATTTGGCTGTCTCCACCTTCCCAGGACTGGATTTCACATACATGCCACCTGGGGGATCAAACTCGGGTCCTCATGCTTGTATGATAAGCACCTTATGGCATGTGTCTTATTGATTAAGCCATGCTCTCATACACCAA